AACGAGATGGATTGACACAGTGGCTACGGTGATGGGCTCAAGTGTAGCAAGGATCGTGGAGCTGGTGTGCAACTGGGTGGTGTTTCGTTCTGCTGTGCATAAGATCACTATGAGTTAGACACGACTTGATGGCACCCAAAAACAATAACAACAAGCTTCAAAAAGAGATGCCAACTACCAACCAATTCACTGCCCTGGAGTGGGACCCGACTCATAGCAACCCCTCCTTGGGTTCTTCTATGGAAGAGATCGCCCAATCTTCCTTCTGAGGAGTGGCTGGTGGGTTTGAACCACCAGCCCCCTGGTTAGCAGTCAAATGCCTTAGGCACTACGCCACCAGAGCTCCTAAAAAGAGATGACAATATAGAATTATATAAAGGTGGAAAATGTAAAGCTAAAGCAAAAGAAACAAAAGTTGGAATCACAATATTAAATCCTATTAAATATAGAATATAGATTATACAACTAGAGAGAATTACGGTTTCAGAACAGAGCACTGAGGATATAAATCACTAGGAAATAATACTACAAGCCACAAAATTTAAGAGCCTTGAAGCAGTAAGGCAGGCCAAAGTGTAACAACACTAACAACAAAATTAACTATAACATGTTAACATTAATTTGGTGCATTTAATACCTGCAAGGGACAATACTATTCACTTCCTCAATGTAATACATCATCCTGAAACAACTCTATAATTACAATCTTACCCCCATTTTACAGATCAGAAAATTAAACAATGGCTACACTAAGTAATCTGCCCAAGTAAGTGAAGATGTTGAGATTGAAATCTAGCCATTCTGAGTGACAATTATCTCACCTTAAATTATTATTGATGGTAATTTAATTCACTTGTTCTATAATTATTTGATTTTTTAAAAGATTAAATAGGTATATTTATGAAAATAACGAAGTCATTACTCTAAAATGCCCAAATAAAAACATGTCATTAATATAAAAGAAGGAGATAATTGGAGATAAATGATGTATGTCTTAGCTCAATCCTTTCGTCAATAGCCGCTAAGAACCAGAAAAGTCTTCCTTGAATTACACCAGAGCAATCAGTTCAAAGCCTCTAAAGTAGAAACAAAATGCCTGCAATGTTAGTGATAGTCAATTGATGCCAGAGCTGGTTTACTTCTTTAATGAAAGATTTCAAGCTAAAATAGTACAATTCCATATTTTTAGGAAGGGGAAAAATGGTGTAATGGTCTCTTATGATGATGTGATGGTTAAGTTTATGTGTCAACTTGGCTGGGCCTGGTTGAGTGGCTGGGCAGCTGAATTTCCCCATGGTGAGATTGGTAATTAATTCCATGGTGGAATCTATTGGAGCAGCTGAGTAGTTGCTTTAGGGATGTGGTCTGCTTCCTGTATATAAGAAAAAGCTTTGGGGATGGTCTCTAAGTTATGGCACGTTTGAACCCTGCATGTAACCACGTCATTGTTCAGCAGCAGCCTGCCATCTTCTGCCGACCTTGGGACTTTTAATAGACTTAATAGCCTGCCACGTGGTTTGGTAACATTGAGACTGTGCCTTTTTACTTACCAACCTTGGGTTTGTCAGGCTTAGCAGCCAACAGCTGTCTGAGTGAAGAAAAGCCTCTAACTTCAGGGAGCCAGGAGTAGGAGGCAGAGCTGAAGCCAAGGTTGAGGGGCTTTCACCCAGCCTCTAAAGTCTAGGACTTTGAACTCAGACTTAACGCCTCCAAGTGAGAGAATAAACTTCTATTTGTTCAAGCCATCCCATTTGTGGTATATTCTTGTCAGAGTGGCACAGAGGTAAACAAAACAGATGGTTATTGAAATGTGATTTTCACACCTAAATTCATACAGTGAATGGCTCTATTAAATTTTTGTTCATCTTCTCACTTAGCCAGTATTTTGCATACAGCCTAGAGACTCCATCAACTAAATCAGAGTTTTATTGTGCAGTATTTGTTTGAATTTAGTTACCTTTATTTTTTTAATTTAATTGGGAAGATACTACTGTATTGCAGTAGCTTAACAAACACAACACAACCACTGCCTGGAGTCGGATCTGACTCATAGTGACCCTCTCCTTGGGCTTCCGAGGCAGTATCACCCCTCAGAAGGAAGGTTGGGCAATCTACTTCCGTAGTCATACCGCCTCTGAAACCGAAGGAGGGGTCGTTATGAGTCGGGTCCAACTCCACAGCACATAGCAACAACATCACTACGGAAATAGATTGCCCAACCTTCCTTCCAAGGAGTGGCTGACAGGTTTGAATCTCCAGACTTCTGGTTAACAGTCAAATGCCTTAGGCACTTAGCTTAGCTTTGCCACCAGAGCTCCTTGCAGAAGTATAAGAATATGTAAATATATGAATACATAAGATGTTCTCAAATTAAATTTTCTATTTTGAATAAAATTTTCGAACAACACAGTCTACAAAATTATCAACTATCCTTCAGCTCCATTGTTTTCTTCTTCTTCTTCTTCTATTAATGACTACAATGATCCTAAAATAGAAAAATATTGAAAAAAGAAAATCATGGCTTGGGGACTATTTAACAAAAAAAAAAGTTTTTGTATCAGAGAAAGAAATTAAATTAAGAGTATTTATACACAAAAGTATAGAAAGAAGTGAAAGAATAAACACCTGTTGTTGTTGTTGTTATGTACCATCGAGTTGGCCCTGACTTACAGCGACCCCTCCTTGGGTTTCCAAGGCAGTACCATTATGGAAGTAGATTGCCCAACCTTCCTTCTGAGGAGTGGCTGGTGTGTTTGAACCACCAGCCTTCTGGTTAGCAGTGCCTAAGTGGCTTAGGCACTACGCTACCAGAGCATAAACACCTACTTACCCAATTTTTACAGTAACTTTTTTTTTAATCTATTTTTCAATCTCTATGTATATACAATCAGTTATCAATCTGTTAGAGCAAGGAAGTTCATGAGTCCATCTTTGGCTGTTTTACTCTATTTACTGAATGAAGAGCCTTAAGTTTGACCAGGCTGTTTGAAAGGTTTGAGACCAAAAAGTAAAATGAAGGGTGAACAATGAAGATGGAAATCTTTTTTCCTAAGTGGATCATGGTCGTATTAACATGTAGCTAAGGAACTGTTGTTGTCATTTTTTAGCATGCTTTTGGTTTGATTTTTGAAAGACAGCATTACAAACTGAAAAGGACTGGATGAGCCAGATCTGGCTCAAGTCTATCATCACTTACCAACAGTTGACAAACCAGTTTTAATTCTCCTGGAATCCAGATTTCTAGGCTCATGGAATGGGGGCAACCCACCTAGGTGTCTTTCTGAACCTTGAGCCTTTAAGGAACTGTTTTTCTAAAGTCACCTTCAAGGCAAAAATAGCCTAGTAAGCAGCATATAGAAGCTCTGGTAGTGTAGGGCCTAAGAATTTGACTGTTAATCAGAAGGCTGGCGGCTTAAACCCACCAGCCACTCCTTGGAAGGAAGATTGTACAATCAACTTGCGTAGAGACACCACCTCAGGAACCCAAGGAGAGGTTACTATGAGTTAGGCTGACTCAACAGCAGCAAGTTTGGTTTTTCAGAAGCAGCTTACGGAAGACTGTTTTCCTTTGGCATTGGGCTCTTTGAAAGAACTACCTAGAGAGAGCCCGTTTGGAGGAGTAGGAACCCCAGAGTCTGACTGGCAAATGTACGGCATGTCCTTAGTAATTGTTTCTAAAACCAACCAGAACCCTGCACATGTTCTCTCTACTTTCTGTGAAATTAACTTAACAATATATAACCTGCTTTCATATCTACCCACAATAAATATAGTTAATGTTTGGTGTTTCCCTGTGTATTTAGTTTTTTGACATTGGTATAAATCTAATGTCAAGAAAATTCCACAATTTTTTAAGTCAAGTAATATGCGTATTATTTAATATTTGCTGAATTATCTCTCTGAAGTGTACATACAATTTGGTAAGTTATAGCTAAAAACAGCACCTTAGCTTAAAATAAATGGGAAGTATCTTAACACAAGACCTGAAAGAAATAACAAACCAGAAGCAAAATATTAGGATCCACTGAGTGATTTTTTTCTAAATGAAAATAAACAATAACTCTCTATACTGTTTAGAACTTTGCTTTCACTCAATGCAGTGACTCTAGAGTAAGTTTTTATTTTTTGAAAAGTGTGGGTTGTTTGAAGATTTGAGATTCCAAAGACTATACCAACCTAAAGAACAGAAATTGAAAAAAAAAAAAAAAACAGACCAAGAATTTTAACTTACATAGTTTCTAAACAAAACGCTTGATCGATGTAACTCTAATGTACGGTAAACACCTAGACTCTAAACTCTCTAGGGTCCTTAGAGAGTGTAGATAAACAATTTCGGCGCCATTTTTCTTCTTCTCTTGGTTCTACTGGAGCCCAGATTTGAGCAATATGAACTCTGTTGTCACCTATGAGGTTTATGATTAAAGACTTAAGTGTTATCTCACGAGTGATGTAACATCAAGTTTATCTCAGAAAACCTTTTGCAGTGATAATCCAACTGTCCTAAGGCAGATGAAAGGGGGTGACAGTAATTCCAAACTACACCAAAATTTATAGGAAAACTTAAAGGGCAAATTTGGAATAGGTTCTTTAGTTTCATTAGCTATAGTTGAAATATTAACTAATGATGATCATTAATTTAATCAATATTCTTTACCTTTCTATAAACAGTAATAAGTTTTTTCCCCAATACAAATCTTAAAATTTTCTCTAATTTATATTCAAGGTGCATAATTTATGACTTTACTACAAACTTTTACACATACTTCCCTAGGCTCTCCCAGGTCAAAGTGTTTGGATTGGAACAGCAAATTATTTCATTCTTGTTTAAGTACCATTTGCAATTAAAACCCTATTAAGTATTAATATTAAAAAATATTTCTCCAGTCCTGTTACATTTCAAAAATTACATGTATTTTATTTTTTTTGGCCAGGAAATACAATTTAGTGGTAGCCATAGATAACACCACCCTGGCTCAAGGAGAATAGTGATGCAAAAGTCCTCAGGAACGTAGGGTCTGCCATTTGCTCAGGGGGCCACGACTGGAGACGTACTTGACACCACAACCATCTGCGATGAGGCGCTTCTTAGCCACGAGATCTTCAAATTCATCAGCATTAAACTTGGTAAAGCCCCACTTCTTGGAGATGTGGATCTTCTGGCGTCCAGGAAACTTGAACTTGGCTCTACGCAGGGCCTCGATCACATGCTCCTTGTTCTGAAGCTTGGTACGGATGGACATGATGACTTGGCCAATACGGACTCTGGCCACGGTACCCTGCGGCTTCCCAAAGGCACCTCGCATACCTGTCTGGAGTCTGTCGGCCCCAGCACAGGACAACATCTTGTTGATGCGGATGACGTGGAAAGGATGGAGTCGCACTCGGATGTGAAAGCCATCTTTGCCACAACTTTTCACCATGTACTTGTTGGCACAAATACGGGCGGCTTCTAGGGCTTCTGAGGAGAGCTGCTCATATTCATCAGACACCATGTGACCACAGAGCGGGAACTCGTCCACTTTTGCCTTCTTCCGACCCAGATCAAAGATGCGGATCTTGGCATCAGGGACACCGCGGCAGAAGCGAGACTTCGGATAAGGCTTGTTTTTACAGTACCGGTAACAGCGGGCAGGGCGGCGGCCCATGGCGACAACGAGATCTCAGGCCGCTCCAAACCGGAAAAGGAGCGCACACGTCTGCGTACACACCTTATATAAGTGGACCAAGCTTCCCTCACAGGAACCATAGAGTTTCTATTCAGCGGGCGGACGCTCTTTCATGACCTCCCAACTACCATAGATGCAGTATCAGTCTGCGCCTGCGTGAGGGTGTGGCCTGGCACACATGCAGAGTTACCCTCCCCAGCCCTCCACCCCCTACAGGTTGGCTAATCTGGGTTTGCAATGTTTCTGGTACTAGAGGGTTGTTTTTAACAGTAAAAGGTGTGTTTTGCTAGAGTTTAAAGAAAGAGAATACTCTCCCACAGACACACTGGCTATTCGATATACTTTATATGCAATTTGGTTAAAGAATCTATTCTACCAGTTTCATATCTCCTGTCAGCATTTGTAGACAAAATGCTGTTTCTCTGCAGAGATGTGGCCACAGGGAGCTCTGGTAGCATAGTGCCGAAGGCACTTGACTGCTAACCGGAAGGCTGACTGTTCAAACCAACCAGCCACTCTTTGGAAGGAAGGTTGGACAATCTACTTCCTTAGTGATAATGCCTCAGAGGGGTCACTGTGAGTCTGTTTGACTCCACATAACAACAACATGTGGCCACGGTGGTGCAGTTCTTTACTACTAATCAAAAGTTGTACGTTGGAACCCACTAGCAGCTTGGCAGAGGAGGCTCTGGTAGCACAGTGCCTAAGGCATTTGACTGCTAAGCAGAAGGCTGGCGGTTCAAACCCTCCAGCCACTCCTCGAAAGGAAGGTTGGACAATCTACTTTCGTAGTGATACTGCCTAGGAACCCCAAGGAGGAGTCGCTATGAGTCGGTCCAACTCCACAGCACATTACAACAGCAGCAGCAGCTTGCCGGGAGAAAGGTGAGGCAGTCTGCTTCCATAAATTATAGCCTTGGAATCCCTATGGGTCAGTTCTGCTCTTACAGGTTCTCTATGAGTTAAAATCGATTTGATGGCAGTAGTTTTGGGTTTCCCTGAGTAAAGTGGTTTCTTGGACTGTTGTACGGCTCAGGGAGAGATGAGAGTCAATTTGAAAGAGGAATCAAGAGAAGGTAACTATTATAGATACTGCTTAGTAAGTGTCATAATCATGGAAGTTTATTGTTTTATTTGATCTAATGGAATGATTCTGTGACCAAAATGGCATCCACAAAATTGATTGAAATACCACCTAATTGTTTTTTTAAATTAAGACATTTTCATTTTCACCTGTTAACATTGCTGGAAGGAATACCTATTATGCTTTTTAAATTATGTTTTATAGAGAATGAGATAGGTTCCCCCCCCCGTTGGGTTTTGTAAAAATATTATGACCAGGCTTAGAGTGTGGGAGAGGAATAAGAGGGAAAAGGATGTGTTTATATGCTTGAATATGGAGATAAAGCAGGAAGTAATTTTGTGTTGCTCTCAGTACAAGTGTAGAATAGGACTAGGTATTACTCAAATATTAAACCAACATATAATTACAAAATGCAAAACATGCCAAAAAGGAAAAGCAGAATGAGCTATATGATATCCTAGGGTGAGGGCCTGATCTAGACTGAGGAATGAACAGAAAGAAACTTTATTAGGAGAGAAATTTCATATAATGACAATGGCATATATCAGTATCAGTAACTAGTTGCCATTGATTCCAATTTACAGCAACTCGTGTGTGTCAGAGTAGAACCGCACTCCATAGGATTTTCAATAGCATATTTTTTAGAAGTAGACCACCAGGGCTTTCTTTTGAGGCACATCTGGGTATACTAGAAGCTCTAATCTTTCTGTTACAACCATTGACTGCACCACTCAAGGACTTTAACCATGGCATATGGCAAAGGCTCCAAAGCAGGTGGGAAAATGGCACGTTTAAGGAACTAAAGTAAGGCTGTGTGACTGTAGCCTAATAATAGAAGGAGGGAGGGAGTGTGCTAACATGAGCCTAGAGAGGCAGATCTGGTGGTGTAGTGCCTAAGGCATTTGACTGCTAAACAGAAGGCTGGTAGTTCAAACCTACCAGCCACTCCTCAGAAGGAAGATTGGGCAATCTACTTCCATAGAGATACTGCTTCAGAAACCCAAGGAGGGGTCATTATGAGTTTAATCAAGTCTAAGGCATTGAGTGAGAGAGGCAGATAGCTGGTGAATATGTGGGAGTGAGAATTGCCTATCAAGAAGGGCCCATTTTTACCAAGTTAGGGATCCTGGTCTTCAATGAAAGGCCATGGAAGAACTTCACTTAGCTTTTATCACTCTGTTTATAGCACAGACTGGAGAGAGTTAAAAAAAAGGGGGGGGTGTTGTTACAGGGAGGCCTGGTGGTAAGGCTTTAAAGTATTGCAAAAAGGTGATGAGGATAATTTGACCATGCTTTTAGTGTCTTTTGCTTTATAAACATGTTTGCATCTTTTTTGTTTTTCTCTTTTACCACCACATGCCAGAATAGTGCCTGGTGGAGAGGTGTTTTTTTAAAATATGGCCATCCAGCACTTGTATGCCACTTCTTCCCCCACCTGTCTAGACCATGCTTTGAGTCTCCAGTGTGTGTGTGGGGGGGACTGGGTTGCACAGACCACACGAGGAGACAATGTCAGAGGAGGTGACAGCAAAATGACTGTCTATAAAGCTTTTGTGTACTATTTCAGCAAAAAGTTACCATATATATATAAAATACATATATGTAGTTAGTTATGATAACAAAAACATTTTTGTAAGGCTAGCTTTCATGTATAAATAAAGCTGCAAGTCTAAAACTTGTGACTATGGGAATTTGCCTTTTGAACTTTTAATGTTTTTCAGTCAGATCTGTCATTATTACCCAATTACAATGATGCTTCAAATCATGTGGTTTCATCATGCTGCAAGCACTCAATGTTGTATTTGTTACCAATGTTTTTATAGTCACTGATTTTATTAAATTTTAGCTACTATCTTGTGGTAATTAATATTTATAAATCTGTATCAACTTTTTTGAGAGTGAAGCAGTAATTAAAGGAAAAGAAGGAGTGATATATAGGAATTACGATTTACAAGTAACATTAGACTGAAAAACGTTACTAACGATTCTGTATGGTTAGCTATGAGAGGAGGTCCCTGAGTTACTGCACTGGGTGACACCGACCCTAGTGATGTCACTGTCTCCAGAACTCTAAAATTCTACGATCTGCAGACCTGTGTCAGGACCTGCCTACATAAACCTCTTTCCTTAATCCTAAAGGTTACCAATTTTGATTTGACAGAAACTGTGCCAGCTTCAGCATTGAATTCTGGCCTCCTGCAAAACCCCTCAGTCTCAGGAAAACTGTGAGAATTGTCACACTACCACACTCATAATTAAGACCCCTTACGAGTTGTAGGATAGGGTCGGAGAGTCAGAAGAGAATAGGAGGGCCACAGACTAGGATCTTGCATTTATACTCCTTTCCTGAGCTTCACAGATAAAATTAGGGAAGAGCCAGTGAAAAATGCATAAGCCTAAGCATTCTACTTCTGTTAACAGGAAAGCATTCCCTTCAATCGCTGCCAGAATATTGCGTATTTCTCCATGTCCCTACTCTGGTCATCTATAATGTGCATTATCCAAGACAGATTTCTCAAAAAAGTATAAAATGTCTGTTTTGAGTTATACTTCTCAAAAAAGTATAAAATGTTTGAAGAAGCCTGATAATTGAGAAGATAGTATTTGGAAAACAACTAGATTTATCTTATTGTTAAATGTATTGCTTTAATAAATGCAATAAAAATTTAGCAAAGGAAGTATCATGCAATGGTTGTTAGCCACAGTGGAGTTGACTTTGGCTCACAATGACTGTCCAACAGAATGAAACCTTGCCCAGTCCATCGTCCTCACAACTGCTAGTATGTTAAGAGTCCATCCTGTTGTGGCAATCCATCTCGCCAAAGATCTTGCCTTTGATGGCCCTCTATTTCACCAAGCATTGTGTTCTTCTCCGGCGATTTATCCCTCTTGATGAAATGTCCAAAGCAAGTGAATGGGACAGTATTCTGTTGTGATCCATAAAGTTTTCATTAGTTAATTTTCAGAAGTACTCTGCCAGGCCTTTTTTCCTAGCCTTAGTCTGGAAGTTCTGATGAAACCTGTCTGTAATGATTGACCCTTCTGGTGTTTGAAATACTCATGGCATAGTTTCCAGCATCATACCCATGCACAGAGCATGACAGTATGACAAACTGAAATACGAGTTGTGAGTGAAATAGTTCGAAATAGCTTCAAGAATGGGTAGAATACATGTAAGTGGAGGTATGAGGAATAAGGTAAGAATGGGGGTGGGACAACCACATAAGACCTTTAATATCTGGGAGGGCAAGAATTTGTCTATTTGGTTCACTGACACCTTTCACTTCCCACCATCTTATTTCAGTATTTTCTCATTGTCTTTGATTTTTACTGCAGTTGGAATATGAAATCTCTTAATTGCAGAGTTTTAGGTTTTTATCTTGCTTGGTGTTCTTTGAGCTTCCTGTATCTGTGGTTTGGAGCTTGTCCATAATTTAGGAAAATTCTTATCCATTGAAGTTATAATTGCCGCACAGTTCTTGTATTTCCTGTTCCCCCTTTTTTATTTTCCGTCTTTTACCTCTTTGCTTTTTAGTTCAGGATATTTCTGTTGATATATCTTCAAGTTCTCAAAGGCAGTTTTCATTTCTCTTACACGGTTTTTAATTGCTAGCATTTTGTTTTCATGCTTTTCTCAGTTTCCATCTCTCTGACTCCATTACCCGGGTGTTCTTGAATGTTCCTCATGTTTTTCCATAAAGCTGTAGTATATTAATCACGTTGTGATTGCTGGTGCTGTTGAGTTGATTCTCAAGTATAAAAGAGTAGAACTGTTCGGTAGGATTTTGTTTTCATCTGAATGGAAGCAGATCACCAGGACTTTTCTTCCTGGTTTCAAACTGCTGCCTTTTAGATTAGCAGTCAAGCACAAACCATTTTCATCACCCTAAGGAAG